AAAAAAAAAAAAAAAAAAAAAAGAAGACAGTATCACATCATAGCTTTCACTTTCCCCAACTATACAGTGGAAGACCAAATGTTGCTTAGAGTCTTACACATATATTTGTATGGATCACCACAGTTTACAAGCTTGTCATACTTAGTGGTTATAGTGTTTGAAGGGGCTAACAGTTAAAGTATAAAGCCACCAGGAGGGAACACAAAAGGATGAAGAATATATTTACAGGCACATGCAAATGAACTGACACAAGAAGATAAAGAATGAAATGTAAGTGCCTTAAAAGTTTAAAGACCAGGGCTGGAGATTTAGCTCAGCGGTTTGGTGGCCTGCCTTCCAAGCGCAAGGACCTGAGTTCGATCCCCAGTACCAAAGGAAAAAAAAAAGTTTAAAGACCAAATAATAGTAAAAACAAAACAAACCTCTAGTACTTTAGATTTGTATGAAAAAAAATGTCTGAATTAGCATGTACCAGAAACCTGCTTTAAGAAATGTAATGGGAGGGGTTTGGGTATGGAGCTCATAGAGTACTTGTGCACAGGGCCCTGGGTTCAACCCCCTGAATTGAAAAAAAAAATGGGACAGGTGATTAGCTTATAAATAATCAAGCTATATAATAGTTAAAACCCAAATAGTTGGTATCATACATCTATTTCCTCTCTTTATTGTAATCTATTTAACTCACTTGCCAGATTGACAAACTGCATTCCCTCTATAAATGTTCCTGGTGATCTTGGCATAGGCCATTTGTGTTTAAATGTGCTTTTTATTTTTTTGGTACCAGGGATCGAACTCAGGACCTTACACTTGCCAGGCAGGCTGAGGAACCCCTGAGCTAAATCTCCAGCCATATTTGCTCTTTTTAAAACACTTCTATGCTCTTCAATTTAGTTTGTACATTTAGGACTGAGTTATTTGCTCCCCAAAGCTTATGCAATTATCTCTCTCATTACATAATTAAGACGTTAAGTAACCGACAAACTAAACGCAGAGAATTTCATTACGGAAACCACGGTGAACATTTGGAAAGATTTGATAATGACATTCCAGTTACAATGCACGTGCACTGTGCCCAGATCATGATTTCTAAGTAGTTGCCTATTTAAAGGAGCCGTGAGTTTCTTGAGAAATGATTTATTCCATGTCTGGGGCACTGAAGTGCAGGGTGAGCTTGAGGTATCTGTGTCAGAGGCAAGTAAATGCCTACTAATTAGAAGGGGAATTTCAGAAGGACATAAGAGCTAACTAGCCAAATTTGGGACAATTTATACAACTGAAATTGATTAAAACATTGAGTCATTTGTCATCACTGCAGATGATGATACCAACAGCTTATTGGTAATTAAACCCACAAACTGGTAACTAGGGGAAAAGAATTGAGCAAAATCCATGCATTCCCAGTTAACAAGGGAATGTTCAAGATTACTACTCAAATGTGGAGTAGTGGTAAAGAATAGAAAATCACTATTTTGCTAACTTCGATGAAAAAAATCAACTAAGACAAGGATTATTGTTGGGTACTAATATAACCAGGTAAAAAGGCTGTCCATATGCTTCCTCACTGTCACTACAGATTGTTAACTGCAACAGGACCAACTACCCTAATGTTGGGAAGAACTGGTTACTACTTAAACTCAATGATCAAATATCACATCACTCAGTGAGTCATCCTGATATTGAGACAATGATGCAAATAAAATAGATGTTAAGTGGTTAGCCTGAATCTAATCAAGCATTTGATCTTAACTTTTAATTTCCAGAAACTTCAGGAAATACAAGAATATAGCACATTTACATGTCAACAGTTAAAGCCCAAATGTGAAACACTTTACAAGACAACTGACTTGCTTTCTTAAAAAGAGGAAAAACATGTGGGGACTGTCAGCCATGTCCAACCTGAGGCCCACAGGCTGCTTGCCCTCTTTTAAAGTGTTATAATCACAAATACAAAAAAGGAAGTTTTGTTACTTATACACATTAACTGTATGATACATTTTATATGCAGCCCAAGACAATTCTTGTTACCCAGTGTGGCCCAGGAAGCCAAGGTCTGACTTGCCTGGGAGATGAAACAGACAGGTGAAAACTGACTGGATCATCAGGAAAAAAATCAAATATGGACTAGGGATTTAGACAGTGTATTAGGAAAGGACTGTTCATTTTCTTTCAACTACTGTGGCTATGTAAATGACTGTCATTTTTATAAGCAGAGGTGACATGTCATATCTATAAGCTACTTTCTGATTATTTAAAAAATATGGCAAAAATGTTTTTAAATTCAGTGGTGGGTATAGTTCATTTTATTATTTTAAAACTTCTATGCATATTTGACAACTTTACTATTAAAAAGTTGTGGGAAATAAGACTATCTGCTAAAAAACTGTTGAGCTACTCATGGTTCAGACAATTCTACAAATGGGGAGAAACACACACACAAAGACCTAGTATTCTGCACTATTATTCTACTATTTTATAAGGGCATCAGTTACCTCTGTATACCAGTGGAAGACTTTATAAATGCACTATTTACATAAAACACACAAAGGCAGGAAACGGAGTAATGCAAAGAAAGATGCTACAGACTGTTACACTCCAAACATTCATTCCAAAGGAGAGAAGTACTGTGTGATGATGAAGCAAAACTAGAAAAATCATATCTTAAATACAACTGTTAGTTTTTAACATGACAACTATGGGAAGTATAATTTAAGTATTTTGCAACCTGTACTTTGTGAAGGATCATACAGTGAAATCAAGGTTAACTAATGTCAGATAAAGTGAAAGCAACACTTTCTTCAAAACACTCAACAATGTAGCTTTGAAGATGCTGGCACCTTAGCCTATCAGCACCTATTTGCAGGATGTTTATCTAAATAGTAAGGTCTAAATCAAGCAGTATGGTCAGTACATGCTCAAATAGATATTTATGCAGAATTTATCAGTCCCCCCATTTAGCTCAGGAAAATTTCCTTGTGCAAAGATGTCCCATGATTTCTGATGTCCATTTTTAAGTAGTTCCTATTACCTGGTAAATAATCAACAGTTATTGAACACTTGTTTGAAATATGCACAAAAGTTATTTTTGTTTTTACCAATTATACTCCTGCCAGTAAGTTCTACACGTTCTCAACTCTAATTTATATAACTCATTAATTCAACCAACATGTATTGATCATGTGCTACATGGAAGGAATTGGAGAAACAAATATGAGCAAAGTGGATCTCAGTCTTACATTTTGAGAGTGGAAAAGTATGGATATTAAACACAACAGTATTTTTTTAACCTATCTCTGCCAGTTTTCCATTTATATTGTTTAGGAACCACAAACTTGGTTCTTTAATGATTACTGCATCAATACCTTCTGTACAATGCTTTTTCCAATGTAAACATTTTTTCTGACACATTGAGTAACCTCTATTTTACTGCCATGTATGAAAGTTTCTAATTATTCCTTTAAAATCAATCTTTTCACTTTTTCTAATAGTCTAAATTTCATTTGTATTTCACCACTCTTATTTTCTTCAGTATACCAAGTCATTACATTTATCAGTTGTTTTATCGTTCGTTTTTCACCTTGATTTTTCCTTGATCCATTCTCTAGTAAACTCGTCTATTTTTCACTTCTTACTCTCACATTTAGATAGCTGCCTCATTGCTTCCTTGACTTGGATTATGGGGTCATTATCTTGCACCCATTTTAGCAAGTTTCTTATGCTTATTCTATAGAAAAACACTTATGATCATGTCCTTACAATCACATTACTATAAAAGTTTCTGTTGCTTAAGTTAGCTGTGATTTTCACCACTGTAACAAGCCCCAAAAGGGTTTAATCAGGAAATCTGGGATCTGAAAGCATGGTAGACACTCAAGGAACGTTTCAGTGGAATAAATGGATTTCCTACAGTAAAGAGCCACAGGGGAACTTTAAATTATGAATTTAGGAGTCGGGTGAAAAAAAGGGAAACTATATGCTTATTTTTTCTTTTAGGATGACACTGGATGTCAAAACTTAGTGAAACTAAGGCTTACCTGTTTTAAAGATTAAGCTTGAGGTGTTTAAATTTTGCCTGTTTAAGTCTGTACACATGCCTAAGGGTTATATACACTAGTTTCTCTGTCTTAACATCTTTTAATCTTCTCTTTCTTTACTATTTTAGTGTCTGAGGGAAACTATAGTTAAACTGGCCACAGAAATCTTTAAGATACTTCCAACTTTTTTTTTCCTCATACCTACTGGTTTCATATGGCAGTAATGCATAATAGGAAAGGATGAAAGGGAAACCTTTACATATTTTAAGGCTTCAAAGCTGGGATGAAACAAAGGCCTGAAAATAGATTTTTCTTTACTAATAATCCCAGGATTACTCTAGTGTGAAATCTCTACTTGATGGACACTTTCCCAAGTTTCATTCATAAGGCTTCTATACTTGAAATACCTTGAGAAGAGCTAGTTTTTTGAATAAATGGACCCTTGAGTTATGACTGACCTGACATACGAACAACTTGAGTTATAAACGGACTTTTAGTTTTAACTTACGACCAAAGTCTTATGTTATGACCCAAATGCCAGCCGTGTTTGCTTCCAGATGGTCTCAGATAGATTTAACCCTTAAAGAATTCTGGAAGAAACATTACAATATCCTTTCCTGTGTGGGGTTGAGAAACCCTGGGCCAATGTCTAAGGACACTGAGACCTGCCTGGAAGAAGGTGTGGCCTAAAATTATACAGGAGAAACACTATGAAGGCTGTATAGAGGAGCCCAAGCCTTCAATTGAGCAATATGAGTTACAATCAGCTCTCATGAACAAAGTGAGTTCATAAGTCAAGGGTCCACTGTATTTTTTCATAGGGTTTCTTTCTAGAATGAGTTAAACTGATATCAAATAAAGGTTAAGTCAATTAAGTTTCCTTTTTTACATTTCACAGTTTTCACGAGTACATCCATATTATGAATTCTGATACTTCTGCTGAGTGATAGCTAATATATATTGCACTTCTTCGGATTTCTTTTGAATAATGTTTTAACACACAGAGCACACAAAATAAAATTTAAGTGATCAAACTGAAAAACCTAAATGAAGTCTTCAATATCCACTAATTACGATGCTTGACACCTGTATGAACTCGCTGATGCTGAATAAGGTTTGTACTCTGGGTGAAGGTTTTACCACATATTCGACATGCATAGGGTTTCTCGCCTGTGTGAATTCTCTGGTGTTGAATAAGGCATGTTCTCTGGCTAAAATCTTTGTCACATTCATTACATTTATAGGGTCTCTCACCAGTATGAGTTCTCTGATGTTGATTAAGTGAAGAGGAATAAATAAAAGCTTTCCCACATTCGTTACATTTATAGGGTTTCTCTCCAGTATGGATCCTTTGATGCTGAGTAAGATTTGCACCCTGTCTATATGCTTTCCCACATATATTGCATTTAAAAGGTTTTTCGCCATTATGAATCCTCTGGTGTTGTGTCAGGTGCACACTCTGGCTGAATGCTTTCCCACATACATTGCATTTATATGGTTTCTCTCCAGTATGTGTCCTATGATGCTGAGTAAGGTTTGCACTCTGGCTGAAAGCTTTCCCACATATATTACATATATAGGATTTCTCTCCAGTGTGAGTAGTCTGATGTTGAATAAGAGTTGAGGAATGAGCAAAGGCCTTTCCACACTCATTACATTTATAACACTTCTCTCCAGAATGAATTCTCTGATGTCGAATAAGGTAAGTGCTCTGACTAAACACTTTCCAACACTCATTGCATTTATATGGTTTCTTTCCAGTATGTATTTTTTGATGCTGAAGAAGGTGTGTACTCTGACTAAAAGTTTTCCCACATTCATTGCATATATAAGGTTTTTCTCCAGTATGAACTCTCTGATGATTTATCAGTGATGAACTATGGCTGAAGGTTTTACCACATTCCAAGCATTTATATGGTTTCTCTCCAGTATGGGTCCTTTGATGTATAGTAAGATGTGCACGCTGACTAAAGTCTTTTCCACAATCATTACACTTATAGGGTTTCTCTCCAGTATGAATTCGCTGATGTATAGTAAGGTGTGCACGCTGGCTGAAGGCTTTACCACATTGGTGGCATTCATATGGTTTTTCTCCAGTATGCATTCTCTGATGTGCAATAAGGGATGAAATATGCCTAAACTCTTTCCCACATTCTTCACATTCATAAGATTTCTCTTTGGCATGGCTACTTTGGTGTTTCAGGAGGGATGGGTATTTCCTAAATTTTTTCCCACACACATTACACTTATAAGGCTTATCTCCAGGAAGTATTTTCCTATATACAGTACCGTATGTGAAATTATTGAAGACTGGCTTGTCTTCATTATACGTAAAAGTTTTATTATCTGATTGGGTATCAAACTGTCCAGTTAGGTTTAAATGCTTTTCAAAATCATTTTTATATATGTCATATTTACTAAGATATTCCTCGGTAGGATCATCTTCTTGTGAAAAGACTGACTTCAAACTGAAATCTCTTTCATTTGTGGGAATTTTCCTGAAGGTATCTGTTGCTTGCCTCTCTAATCCATCATCATAGTCATACAGTTCTTCTAACTTGATGGTTTGTGTTCCATCCTGTTTGAGTTTAGGAATATTCTCTATTGGAATACATGCTTGGGCTTCAGTTTTGCATTCTGAAATAAAGAAAGAATAAAAAAGTCTTCCTCTGAAGAAAAAGAATAAAATGGTAAATATGATGAAATGCTTAACTATAGTTCTGACAACTTCATTAATTAATGTGATCCTTGAAGCTTAGAAAAGTAGAATAAGAGGGCAGAAAAAAACAGGAGACTAGATAGTTGAAAACAGTCCGTTTTTAGCATGGGTATAGAGTAAAGAAAATAGTTGAGGTCAGGTGACAGTATTAAGAGAAATAAAAACAGCAGGTAAGACTATATTGGCAAACTCGGGATTATTTCAGAATAATTTATATACAATAGTCTCAAAGTAGAGACACTGAGTCTTACCACTCCTTCTAATCTACCCTTCACAATTCTATATAACATTCCTAAAATATTCTCATGGAAGGCTTTCTATGCTAAAGGATCTATAATAAATCTCTAACAGCCTAAAACAATGGCTCTCAAAGTACAGTTCCTGGCCAGGGATTTAGCTCAGCAGTTCAGTGGCCTGCCTTGCAAGCACAAGGACCCGAGTTCAATCCCGGGTACAAAGGACAGTTCCCAGACTAGCAGCATTAGCATCAGTATCACCTGAAAATATTTAACATTTTTGGGTCCATCTAGCCATACTGAATTAGAAATTTTGGCAGTAGGCCTGAACAGTTTATCAAGTGGCTTTGCTGGTTTTGAGACCTGGTGACTTTAAGGATAAATGTTAATGAGAGAAAAAGGGCTAGAGGTGTAGTTCAGCAGGACAACATTTGCATAGGCACTCTGGTTGATCTCTAGCACTGCAAAAATAAGAGTGAGGAAAAAATTTCAGATATCTTTACTTGGCATTAGTCTCAAAAGAATCTAGCCTTTTCTATTTAACTGTATCTTCTACATTGCATATTCAGTTGAAAGTGTGAAGTTATCCATTACTTTCACAGGGTTAATAGCTGCCATACTAAATAAACCTAGATTCTAGGCCTCCTCTTCTAATTTTTTCCACTTGTGAAAAATATATTTATAGCCTACTCGTGTTTACCTCTATAATGCTCTCTCTTAGAATCTAAAATACAGGATAGGTTGAATCATGTATGAAATTGTATTTTTTATAGGCTAAAACAGCTGAGTCTCTGTAATCAGCATGGTTCAACCTAACAAAATGTCATGCCTAGGATAGAACTTGACATTAATGATTATTTCATAATTTGATGTTTTTATATTGCAATTTAGATATAGTCTCTAGAAATAGCTTACGTTTCTCTGGTATTTCCTTCATAAAATGGCTAAAGACTGGATATGGTAGCCACTAAACTGAACTGGTAAAATAATCAACAATAACTTGTCAAAAAGTGAACTAAAATGAAATTATGCATGCACATGCATGTATCTGTGTACAAACACACACACACAAAGCCAAATACAAAAGCCAAAAAAACTCTGCTGTAAGACAGTAACCTTATGTTATGATTTCTTTTAATCAGGCGGGAAGCATGTAACTTGTAAATATTAGGAATTATATATAATGTATGCACAGTAAAAGAAACCCACAGAATGGGAAAAAAATCTTTACTAGTTACTCCTCAAAGGACTATACCTAGAATACACAGAGAACTAAAAAAAAATCAGACTCCTCAAATTCAAAGACCCAATGCAAAAATGGGCATCTGAAATGAACAGACATCTCTCAGACAAAGAGGTACAAACAGCAAACGAATATATGAAAACATGTTCAACATCATTGGTCATTCAAGAAAGGCAAATTGAAACAATGCTGAGATTCTATCTCACTCCAGAAAGAGTGGCTATCATCAAGAAATCAACCAATAATAAATGTTAGCAAGGTTGTGGGGAAAGAGAAACCCTTCACCACTTTTGCTGGGGAGTGTAAATTGGTACAATCAGTATGGAGATTCCTCAAAAAACTAAAACGAGAGGTTCCACTTGACCCAGCTATTTCTATTATCTTCCTGAGAGTTAAAAGCATATCAAAGAGATATATGCACACCCATATTTATAACAGCACAATTTGTAATAGCTAAATCTTGGAAACAACCTAGATGCTTATCAGCAGTTGAATGGATAAAGAAAATGTGGTTTTTATACACAATGGAGTACTACTCTGCCACAAAGGGGACAAACTTGACACATTTTTAGGTAACTAGATGTACCTTGAGAACATACTTTTTTTTTTGTACCAGGGACTGAACTCGGGCCTTTGCGCTTGCAAGGCAGGCAGCAGAACCACTGAGCTAAATCCCCGGCCCCCAGAGACCATATTTAAATGAAATAAATCAGAAACATATGTTTAAATATTGCATTGTTTCTCTTCTGTGAAAAACCAAAAGCATAAATAAGGACCAGAATGGATAATACATATTGGGAAGTAGGAAGAAAATGTTCAAATGGGGGAGAGAATAAGGGAGGGCAGGGGAAGGGAAAGAAGGGAAAAGGAAAAAAAAAGAACAGAAGAAAAAAATGGGAAGCAAAGTTTATAAATGAGGTGAAGTGTGGGAGAAGAGAATGGAGGAAAAAAGAGGAATCAAGAGATATTATGTTTAGCTACAAATTTCCTATGATGAACGGGATCATTATATATATCAAAAGTGTACCAATAAAATTATTTAAAAAGAATTATATAATGTAATAAAATCAAATGTAGAATTTATAATATAGCCAAAATGGTACTGGATATGTCCACTAAAGCCTGATATGTTCAGAGACAGGGCTTTTGGAAGGCTCATGGGGGCGCTGTATTCAACAGTCAATTTATCTACTGGTGAGTTCAGGGTCCTGAAGCTGCCACTGGGAGGTGGGACCTGGTTGGAAGAGGCAGGTTATTGAGGGCATGACCTGGAAGGGTATATTTCCCACCCCAGCTCCTCTCTTCTCTCACTGCTTCCTGGCCGTCAAGACAGGAGCAGCTTTCCTTTGTTCAGACCCTTCTACCATACCAGTTTTGTACTGGATGCAATCAACCAAGGACTGAAACTTCTAAAACCATGAGTTAAAAATATACTTCTCTTCCTTTATGTTGTGGGTGCCTGGTATTTTGTTCCAGCTGTGAGGAAAGTGACTAAGAAAGGGTAGTTCAGAAATTTTCTAAAATACAGCTCAAAGTATAATAACTTTATCAATATAACCATTTAATAGGATATTATATAGTCATTGAAAGTGACAGCTATATCAGGGAGAGACTGGTTAGAATAGGGGATAATGGGATATTGATAATTGGTGAAAATAGGTAGGACTAGGCAAATTGATTGGAAAAAGTGTGTAGGATATGTTATTAAGTGAAAGAAAGCAGGTATATATAACAGCAGAAAAATCTCACCTGTGCAATGGGATGCTATATGTTTGACTGACAGACAGACAGACACACACACACACACAGAGGCACAAGGGGAGAATGTCTTGGCAATAACTCAGGGGAGGGACACATATTTGTTTTCTCATACTGCTTGAATGTACAAACCACTTTTATTCAAATACAAAACTCATAGCTGACACCAGAAAATGTATAGGAATAATGTTAAATAAAAAAGCAGTATCATAACTGGCATGAAGACACATTAGATAAAATGGAAAAATAGTAAGATTGGTGCCGGGCATGGTGGCGCACTCCTATAATCCCAGCACTTGGGAGGCTGAGGCAGGAGGATCGCTGTGAGTTTGAGACCAGCCTGGGCTACACAGTGAGTTCTAGGTCAGTCTCAACTACATAGTGAGACCCTGTCTCAAATAACCAAGAAAAAAAAAAGTAAGATAATAGCTTTTCTTTTCAAATTTTCAAAAAATTATGTTTATTATCTTTTCTGTTTGTCAGAACTAAAACTGCAATTATTTTACTTTTATAGTAGAAAATTTAAAACTCACTTTCTCAAACCAGGATTTGCTACCCCAGCCCCAAAGAGCAAATGAGAACACGACTGCATTGAAAAAGCAGGTGAATATATACACAGAAAAAGGATGAGTTGTAACAGAAGGTCAGTTTAATTTCTGTGGAATCAAAATCAGTCTGTGGCACTGTATGTATACCCAACAGTTATGGGTTTTGCTTGTTTGTTTGTTTTGTTTTACAGTGCTGGGGATGAAACCCAGGGCCTTGAGCATGCTGGGAAACTATGCCATTGGGCTGGAGATTTAGCTCAGTGGCACCACAACTGCCTAGCAAGCACAAAGTCCTGAGTTTGATACCTGGTACCAAAACAAAACAACAAAAAACTGCACCAAAAACCAATCCTGTGTCTGCCTGAAAATTATGCTATCACTGAGCTTCATACCTAATTCTACAGTTATAATAAGCTTAAAGCAACAAGTCCAAAGGGTGAATATGAATAAAATGCTACTACAGCAAATACACATTTAAAAAATTAGTTTATTAGAAATTCAGAAATTGTGGTAATTAAGGAGGGCATAAATATGCGGATATTACTAACCAGAATGCTTTCCCAAAAATGTTAAGTATCAGAGGGTAAGTTGATGGTATTCTCTTGCCCAGAGGATTACACATCATGTTAGGGCAGGCTAGAAAAGCAAAATCCTCAAACCTCACCTCGATAGGGTATAAAACATAACTTGCTTTTCTGTCTTTGTGATCTACACAGAAAGCAAAATCTCTCATAATCACAAACTGGCCCTCCTTGGGGACTTACAGCCCTAACTTTTGCTCTCTGAATGGTCTAAAAAACTCATTCTGTAAAGTGAAGTTCAAGTGGTTCCAGCCTGGTTGCATCTCCCAGAAGCTATCCCAACTCAAGTCTAGGATAATTTTCATTACACTATATGTATTTCCTCAGTGTTTACAATGTGCTAAGCATAGTCTTCAAAGAAGTTAGCACGTCATAGATGTAACTGTGCCATTTTGCCAACAAAGGTCATAATAATGTAAAAGAACTAGCTCCTTAAGTAGCATGACTCTTTAAAATACCTAATGACTAAAGTAAATTTCTTTTTTTTGCCCTTAATACTGGGGATTAGACCTAGAGCTTTGCAAATGGTAGGCAACTACTCTCCCATTGATTGACAGCCACAGCCTTTATTATTGTGAGACAGGGTTGAACTGAGTTGCCCAGCCTAGCTTCAACTTGGGATCCTCCTGCCTCAGAATAGCTGAGATTACAGGTGTGTGCCACTGCACCCAGCCCCAAATTAACTTTTTAAAAAGACTGCAGCGATTTACTCGAAGGTTAACATATATATATCCTGTCATTATCATTTAATTTACTGTTATCGCTGTGTTCTAGTATCAATATTGGTAGATATGCAAGGAATCAGTGACTTAATAAAAAAGGAACAGGAAAGCAAAATGCAAGAGTATATATAGGATTCTTTTGTGTACAAAAGGAGATATAAGAATATATTAACGATTCATTCCTGCAAAGAGAAACAGAAAGGATCATGCAAAAACAAATGAATATGGTTACCATATAGAGTTGATAGGAATCAGGTAGAAGGGATGGGAATGTAAACCTTTTTACATAGTTCTGACTTCTGAATCATGTTAATATTTTAACATACTCAAAACTGTAAAATACAAAAGAATAATCCCCCCAAGAAAACACTAACCTTAGTAGTATCTAAAAACAAAAAGGAATTCAAAGAAATCTTGAAAAGTTTGAGACAGTTTGTTATTGGTAGTGGTACTGACATAATTCTGAAACTATTTCTGTAATATGATAGAGAAAATAAGTAAATATACTGATATTTACTATTGGTAGGAACTAGGTTATTCATTGTATGGAATATGGGAATATATAAAATGGAATACCCTTGTGGTTTTAAATTTAAATTACAGTTATTAGTATCAACTCATGACATTCACCTAGAATTTTTTTTTTTTTTTTTGGTACTGGGGATTGAACTCGGGTCCTTGCGCTTGCAAGGCAGGCCATTGAACCGCTGAGCTAAATCTCTGACCCTCACCTAGCATTTTTAATTTCATTTTATTATATTGGGGCAAGGATGAGGCCTTGCTATGATGCCCAGATGGCCTTGAATTTATGATTCTCCTGCCTCAGCTCCCTGACTGAGATTATAGATGTATGCCAATTCATAATTTAAAAAAATATACATGTCTTTTTAATTTTCCGGCTATGTTTGTTGAAGAGATCTGGAAGCAGTGATATTTATAGGAATGACCAGAGTCACTTGCTTAGATCTGTTTTCTAATACTCTTCATTTAAATGAACCAGGGTTCCTTGCAGAAATTGTAGGTCTGAGGTAAGCACTGGTGAGCCTAAAGAACAATTTGCTGTGCCAGAAATGAAGAAGATGCTCAAAGACAAATGGATCACGTCAAAAGGATGTTTGGCTAGGTTTGAAGGGCTCCCATCGCTCAAATTTGGAACACATGAATACTAAAAGAAAAAATGAACAGGCCTCTCAACTAGGATTTATGGACTAATAACACTCTGAAGTTTAAAATATTCCATTATCTCATAGTAGTTCACACAGATAAAAAGATAGGAAGAACAGCTATTCTTTACAGAAGCTGTTAGTCATGTGGAAGACATGACTGAATTAGAAAGTCACCATTTCCCAATCAGCAATGTACCAAGGCAAGGATCATCAATGGAGTCCAAAAATCTAAAGTAAAAAATTATTAAAGAACAGAATAGTCACATGGCCTCAAAGAATACTTAATAAAAATTAAAAATGCACATTTAAAATGTTGAAATCTTGTAGAGTCCACCTTTACAAAACTGAGCCTAACTAACAATGAGACAAAATGACATTATTTGACTACTGAGTAAATGTATGGAAAAATATCATCTTTGAAATATCCTTGGAATAATGTTTAATCTGAATCTGATCATAGGAAACAAACAGGCAAATTCAGATTGAGGGTCATTCTGAATGACAAAACCAACTAACCAAACCAACCAACCCCCCCCCCACAAAAAAAAACTGGCCTGGACACTTAAAAAAGTCAATACCATGAAAGATTTAAAAAGAAGAAAAAAGGCCAGAGGATAGTTTTACGTTATAAAGAACTAACATTAGACACATAAATGCAACATGTGGATCCTGAGATTCTGAAAAGGCCCTTGACTGAGGAGAAAAATAATTATAAAAGATAATTTTAAGATAGCTGAGGTACATGTTCAATGACACTATTGTATGAATGTTAAAATATGTAGAATAAGAATGGTGTACTTATGGAGGAGAACATTCATGTTCTTAGGAGCTATTTAGGGGTGCTATGTTATTACTAACTTTCAAATGGTTCAGAGTAAAAACAAAGTGTAGAGATAAAGCAAAATGGCTAAATGATGATAGTTAGGATTCTGGATGAAAAGTACCGCACACAGTTGAATTGTGTTCCCAACTTTTTAAAAAAATACAGTTGTTGCGGAGGAGAGAAAAAAGAAATGGGACCAATCAGAGTATCTGTCGATAAAGACAGTTTAGTAAATTCAGACACAATGAAGTATGTTGCAGATATAAAAAAAGAAATGAGCAACTTCTCTACACATTCATCTGGAACATTTTCAGGTCATATTTTCAGTAAAATAAGTAAAGCATTATGCATAGTATGCATATTTATGGTGAAAAATAGAGAAAAATTTAAGTATTTTTATGTACAAAAAACAAAAAGAACTGGGCCTGGTGGCACACACCTGTAATCCTGGCACTTGGAAAGCTGAGGCAGGAGGATCACAAGTTTGGGGATACACTTTGAGTTCATGCCCAGCCTGAACTAGATAGTGAGACAGTCTCAAAAAAACCAAAATCCAAACCAAACCAAACCAAACCAAAAAAACCCCAAAAAGAAAAACCAAATAGAACACTGAAACAATGTTTATCTCCTGGATACTACTAATTTCCTTACTGAATAGAAAGTTTTGTCTTTCATTTGTTTCTTCTTTGTAAGAATCTTTTTTGCCTATGACTTGTACTCTGAATAGCATTTTGGCCATTTTTTAAAGATCATGATACACAGTATATTAACCATTACTATTCTTTAATTATTTTGTTATCAAATTTTATTTTTTCATAGAAGAGTGTTTCTTATATTTTCTTTATTAATATCTACCTGATTAACATTGAAATAAAAAATTCAAAGATAAATATCAGAAGAAATAGGAGATTGTTAGAACTTATTTAAAAATCCAGATTTTATTCTGGAGATAAACAGTTACTCCAGGTTCATTACCTAATTTCTATTTATCCGGCAGCAGACCTCCACAGGAAAACAGTGGTTCATGGACATAATCGAATGACTGGTTGCTGCTGGAGATAAGGGAACTGGGTGACTGGTATGGAGGCAGCAGACGTTTGTGTATGTCTGGCTTTGTGTATATTAAAATCTTGAGTTCTGTCAATATATTATCTTCTGAGATAATTAAAAAATAAAAGAATGGAATGAGGAAAGTGGAGGCAGGGCTTTGTCAGTAAGCAGAAAAAAAGAAACTAAAAAAGAAGGCAGTTTGAAATAAAAGTTTTTAAGGTATATTCATGCATGCTTACACATCGAGGAAGGGAAAGTGGCACAATAAAAGTCCAGATAAGCTCTAAGGGACAGTACCTAGGCACCATGCAGAGGATGAAGTGAGGCGACACAGGGCAAAGGTAAGAAAAATGCTGTTTGGGAACTTTTTTCCTGAAGGCGGCCTCTGTAGGGAAGCAAAGGTAAACAGCTACCTCAGAAGTTACTGATGGGCTGTGAGGTTTGTGCAGACAGTGACTTGGGCCATATTTGAAAAATAAAGCAATACAATGAGGATATCACTCCTAGAGGTAAAGACTTTCTCACCTGGACTAGGGCCTTCTAAAATTTCTTTTATCACCATCCATGGTTCTTCCAATATGGGGATCACAGTTGGTCTGTACACAGTCAGTCCTGTTCAAGAGGGATATAATGCATTTTATCCTGGAGATAAAGAATCTTTATCTTTAAGCTGTGCAAGGTTTATTACTCAAATTAACTGACTTATTAGACCTTTATAGAAAAACAGTATTTTATGGACACAATCTAGTAAGAGAATTGGTTTTCAGTTCTTCAGAGCTAGGATGATAATTTCTTGCTACCAAGAAGATACAAGTCTGGAGATCCCACACAGAATTCTTCCCACACAGAAACAGAATGGGCAAGGCAAGCGACAGCAATGTAAAGCTATACATCATGATTTTCAATGATCTTTCACTTAGAACATTTTTGTGCCTGAAACAGGGGACAACACTCATCTCTACACCTTATTTTTAGGCAAACAGTTCAGAGCTTAAACCACTGTTAACAACTAGGGGTAGAAGAGATATTCTAGCAGTTTGGAAAGAGGAATATAGATGACACCTACCTAGAGAAACCATGTTCCAATAGTTTTGCAATGTCACAGTCTTGTACAGTTCCTTCTGTACAGGACGCATTAGCTCCCAGTCCTCTTGAGTAATGTCCACAGCCACATCTTTGAATGTCACTGATTCCTAAAATATCAAGTATAACCTAACTTGGTTCAAGAACTGTGGGAAGGAGGATAGTGGTAACAAGGGGCATGCATGAAGTGATGGTGGAGGTCACAGAATCTTAAACTTCAAGAATCTAGAAGTATGCATGACTCCCCAGTACCTCTCAACGGCCCTAAAGGAAAGTTCAAAAATAAAATAGAATTTGTTCTCAGTTGGTACTAGAACATATACTAATAGTTCTGTCTTAAAGAAGAAATTGGCTGGGGCTGTAGCTCAGTGGCAGAGTGCTTGCCTTGCATGTTCAAAACCCTAGGTTTGATCTCCAGCATCACAAAAAGAAAGAAGAAAGAGGAGAAAAAAGAAAGGATTTGAAAATTTAAAAGTAGACAGAGTTTTCTATGGTTTTGTCTTTCAAGATTTGCCTTAAGAATTCAATGTTTTAATTTAAAAAATTTTGCCTGCTTTATAATGAAATGCAGAATATTTCCTTCAGTCTTTCTCCAGTGCTGGAGACTGGAACCAGAACCTTATGTGCTCTACAACTGAGCTACATTCCCAGTCCTCTTTTACTCTTCTTAAAAACAACTAACACTGTTAACTGTTGCACTTTTAGATGTACTTTACAATTTGGTAAGCTTAGTGGTCCTTTGTCTTTTTTTTTTCCCATTAAGTCTATTGGTACATTTTAGGTATGTAAAACAGTTACATTCATCATCGGGATCTTGTACCTTTACATGTTGTGCCTTGGTTCTTATTTTTTCCCTATTCCCCTGATCTCCCTTCACCCCACTCCACACTTTCCTATTTACCAAGATTTTGTTTCCATGTTATTTCATTTCTCATATTTTTTCTTTGCCCTACCCCTCCCACTTTTCCTTTCTCTTTTTTGTTAAAAACGAATTATTGATCATTTTTTTTTAGAGGGGCAATACTGGGTAATGCACCCAGGGCCTTCACACTGAGATACATCCCTGGCCCTTATTTATTTGAGAAAAGTTCTAAGTTGCCCAGACTAGATTTGATCTTGTGATCCTCCTGCCTCAGCTTCCTTAGTAGCTGGGATTATAGGTACCATTGCACCCAGCTCTTGATTACTCTTAGGGGTTCATTTTTTCATATAATTTTCAATATCTTAGAAAAAATCCTTTTGGGGCTAATGTGGCTTTCTTTATAATAGCCCACCTTGCTTTCTCCAGGGTGTTCTTTTATCTTGCTTTTTCCTCTTTTACTTGGCCCATGTTTGCTTTGCAAGCCAGTTTCCCTCTCTTCACTTTTACTTTTTCTGCTTATCCCAGTTTTGTAAATGGCTTTTTTCTTGGTTTGTGTTTTGGTGTGATACTAGACTCACCTGCTCCTTATATCTGGGCTAATTAGCCTGAGGTTTGGGATCCCAGCACTACTTCTCAGGACCCGTATGTAGAAGTTCTTGTGGGTTTCCTTGAGATTTGGAAAGTATAAAAGAACACAGGCCCCATGAAGAGCTTGCTACCATGGCTTTCCTCAACACAGCTTGCCCTGCTTTCTCCCAGGTATTCTTTTATTTTGTGTCTTTCTCCTGTACTTGGCCCAAGCTTGTTCTGCAGAGCCAATTTTTCTCTTATTCTTCACCTTTACTTTTTCCCCTGCTTTTTGAAAAAAAAAAAAAAAATCTTTTCCAGTATTGAAATCACAATTTAAAATTTAGACAGAAGCAGCTGGGCATGGTGGTGCATGCCAGAGCAACTCAGTGAGACTCTCAAAATAAAATAATAAAAGGGTAAGGATATAGCTCAGTAGTAGAGAACTTCTCTAGCATGAGTTGGGCCTGGGGTCCTTAGTGAAAACAAAAACAAAAATAAGACTCATGATCAAATGGTGTTCATAAGGAAAAATAATATTAGTAACTATTACTTACTGCTCACATACAGTAATTTAAGTTAATGACAACTCTTGTAATATTTAATCCTAACAATCTAAGAGGTAAATTCTACCTACTGAGTTGAATAACTCAGGTTAAGAGTAGTTAAGTGTCTTGTCCCAAGATAGATTCAGTGATGAGTCAGGAACCAAAACCATCTGGCAATGAAGGTAAATATCTTACCTCTCTTGCTAATGAAAGGGACATCAAAAGAAGACAATGGAAGCACATTTCCTTATAGGCCACGGTAACTAAGGAGGGAAATTGAGGCTTAGGTCCTAGACAGAACTTTTGAAAGCATAGTAGTTACAGGAGCAAGACAGAAAATATTCTTATACACTCAAAAAGCACTTTAAAATCAAAAAAGAAACTCAAACTCACTTCAGTCACCAAGTCATTGAGCCACCCTGCCTGGAAAATATGTTTTCCTCTGGTGTCTTCCTCTGGAGTTTCTTGGGAAAGGGCAGAGTTCTGAGAAGCTAGGGAAAAGAAAAAGACTGTGATGATTCCTATTTACATAGCTTAGGAAACCCTTCACCAAATACATTCCCAGACTGTTTAATATATTCCTAAAATGAAAATTCCAAAGAAAACCAGGACTGAGACTTCAAAGAGTCAGAGGGAAAGGCCAATGACTTGTCTGAAGATATTAATGCAGACTGCAAAAATAAATGTACTCTGGGACTTATGTACAAAACTTGCAATTTTCTACTAAATCCTTAGTTGAGATCAGTTTTGTTAGTTAACTCTTTTGTTAATAAGGGAATATTCTTTGGAGACTATTTTTTGGAAGTATGTTATTTGAATTGGTCAATTTCCATTGTTGGGACCAAAACACCTGATACCTGTAACTTGGAAAAGAGGCTTAAACTGGCAAGGATTCAGTCTATGGTTGGTTGGTTCCAAAGTATCAACATGATAGAAGGGCATGGTGGACCAAAGCCACTAACCTCACAATGACCAAGAAGCAAAGAAGGGGAAGAGTGCCAGAGCGGAAGGGGCCAGGGACCAGATATAGTACCCAAGGTATATAACCCACCCAGACACCCAGAAGTGTAATTCCCCCTTGGGTAGCTAAGAAATGAAGTTGACAATCTAGCTTACCAGTTGTATTATTATAAAACCCAATTTCCAAAGTAGATGGTTTATTAGTAGAATGGTGCAAACCTCTGCAAGTAAATTTCCTGAGGGTCCATATAAGTTAATTTGGTCATGTCTAACCATTACTTCAAAACATTTTTCCTCTGGATTTGTGTTTGGTCCCAAGCAATATGGAAGGGGGGGCACTGTGAAGGATAAAGCTTACATTAAGACCTTGTTCTCACTCACTCATCGACCTTTGTTCTAATTTCCATGAAGGGGTTGCTCTCAGAAGTGCTAGCTGTCTCTTCTAACCACCCAGAGATTTGTGCCCTCTCTGGTTTACAATTCTTACCTTCCTCTTGTAGAATCTGAGTCAAATCTTCCACCAAAGTCACCACTTCCTCTGTGCTCTCTGGATACTGGGACTTTACCCATGTTCTAACCTCCCCTGGAAGGATGGTTAGGAATTGCTCTAGCACCAGCAGCTCCAGGATTTGTTCCTTTGAGTGAATCTCAGGTCTCAGCCACTTAAGGCAGAGCTCTCGGAGTTTACTCAATGCCTTTCGAGGACCAGCCATGTCTGGGTATGGAAAATTCCTAAAATTCTGTCGACAGGTCTCAGTATCACGCAAGAGTTTTGAAGTAAGAGTCTGCTTTTCAAAATTGTGAGGTCCACTTTGGGCCTTGTCTGGTTTCCACATTAGAAGGATTTGGGAGCGTGAAGAACTGTTCATCCTCTTTCTTGAGGCTAACATTGTTACAGACAGGATATTCAATCTGGCAATATCCTTTATTTCTCCAGTAATGAGCCAACTGCTTGAAGTGTCATTCTACAGCCACAAAAACATTATATCAAGAGCTGCTGCCACTGGAGGCAGAACAGAATCAAGGTAAAGTTAGCAGCCTTAGTTACAAATTCTGAGCCCAAAACTTGCAGGGTTAAGAGACCCTGAAACATAAGAATGGACCACAAGGCCAAAAAACCTTGATGTACTCTGCTGTACATATATGCACACAGAAACAGACTCCCCAGTGTGCACAAACACATGTAGGTCTTAACTTGGCCTCCCACCCCTTTATCCTTGGACTTGTCAGAGAACTGCAGTCTTTCAGGGGGTAGTGTGCATGCATGTGCACACACATGCATGCGCGCGCGCACATGTGTGTGTGTGTGTGAAGGTGGAGCTACCATTAAAAGACGGTAGAATAAAGAACTATCAGCAAACCAATTAACTTGTAACGTGATGAAACAAAAATTAAACATTTTTACAGCAGAAAAATGTTTCAGTACCCTTAGTCACTGATGTCTCAGAAGCTGTAATGACTGAACTGGTACTCAGCAAGAGTAAACTCACTGTTAGTGGGAACAAATTGGGAGGAGAATTTCTTCTTAATAAAGTGTTCAAGGTTCACAACATAACTGTGAGGGGGGAAAAAGGCGAGTCATTCACCAGCTTTGTATGCTACTGCGGGCCTATTCTAGTTTTTCACTATCATCAGGCTAGGAAGACAAGCCGGTTGGACTGGAAAGTAGTCGAAGAGGTGTGCCTGGAATCTATTTCATTGCTTCTACACAAGACAGTTCCTTTATAGATATATCTGAAACCAGGATTCCGGAAGTAAACCTCAGAAGTAGCCGGACCTGGAGGTGCACGACCCACACCCACCTGTCCCCAGAGGCAGCTCTCAGCCCCGCTCAACCAAAAGTCGTGCCAACAGAGACAAGCGTTTACAAGGCCCTGAGAGGCGCCGGCCCGGCCCGGCCTCGCCTGCCCTTCTCGGTTGTTCACTCTTTCTTCTCTTTAGCTGGAGGGGCCGGGGGTAGAGGGGTAGTCGGGGCACCCCGCAACCGGTAATGCGCAATGTTGGGTCTGGGTCCCCCACAACCGCCTGCACCTCGTCTTTGCACCCCCTGCAGAAAGCAAGTGCTGGCCCCGTCTTGTGCAATGGCTTGGGCTCCGGGCCTGACCGCGCGGACACTCGCGCCAGGGACGTCATTACCTGTCGCTGGGACCCGGTCGCCGCGCAGTCTGAACGGCCCAAGAGGCCACGGGCAACAATGGCGGCGGCGTCACTGGCGCCTGCGTGGCGGACTCAGTACTGCGCTGTAGAGGGGCCTCTGGCGCCACCACTTCCCTTCTCCTGGAAGCACAACGCGACTCGGACAGGAGCCGCAAGTCCCAGTACTGTCCTGAGAAGCCCAGCTCGGAACCAAGCACCCCGGCTTCGCTGCGACCTCGCCTCGCCCCCACTGCGCATGTGCGCTAGGAGAACGCTGCGTGCTTGTGGAGCCAATCAGAACCGGAGCTCGGGTCTACCCCCTCCACAGACCCTGGCCTTGGACCCGTCTCCATGGCAACCGCCTCCACCCATCACTGTGCCTTGCTTGGTAACCTGAAGGCTTTGAAAGGAAATTTAAAGTTTCCTAGGGCAAAGACAAGTCTGATAGACGATTTGGAGGCCAGAAGGAACCATGGTAGAGGAGCGCTTTGAGGCTGAGGGGCCGTGTCAGTTACCCAGAGAAAACCACTCCAGGGTTTCTAGGGAAGGATGAGCAGGGAAGATGTGGTTTTAAAGGGAGAAAAACCTAAAGTGCTATTTTGGGATTTACTGTGCATAAACACTTAAACGTTCTGAATTCGTCCTCGAGAATTTGATTCTGAGACACTCAGATTGGGAACACACACACACACACACTCACACACACCTCAGCAACACGTTATTTATGAATTACAAAACAACAAACGAGGACTGGGGATTTAGCTGGGCTGGTTCTGCTGCCTGCCTCGAAAGCACAAGGTTCGGAGTTCAACCCCCAGTACCAAACAAACAAAACAACAAAACAAAAACAACAACAGAAACCAAATGAATATAAAAATAAAGGGACAGGGAAACACATTCCAAGTATTCCTGTTACCTACTGGTTTGTTAAAAAAGCAAAAACAAAATATTCCAACCTGGCCTGGTGGTGCAACTATGTCATCCCAGGAGAATCGCTGTGAGTTCCAGGCCAGCCTGGGCTACACAGTGAGTTCGAGGTCAGCCTGGACTTCTTAGTAAGACCTTGTCTCAGCAAAACAACAACAACAACAACAACAACAACAACAACAACAACAATAACAAACCTGCTCCAAAACGTCATTATAAAGCCATCAGGAATCAATCTTGGGTTCCTCTTATTAACTAATCTAATCACATTTCAAGGTTCCCTTCTTGAAACACCTGTCTTGGTTACTTTTCTCACTGCTGAAACAAAATACCTGACACCCAAGTTAAACAAGGAAATCCTTATTTCAGTTCACAGTTTGTAGAGGTTTCAGATCATAGTTGGCTGGCTCCAAGGCAGGGCGGCATGGCAGAGGGGCATGGTAAAGTAGAAACAGTCCATGTGTGGCAAGCAGAAGGCAGTAAGCAGCAGCAGCAGTTTGCCTTCCCTTTTTCCATTTATAGTCTATCCAGACTGTGTGCCTATTGATAGGTGCCATTCACACCCAGGGTGGAGCTTCCATTATCCACACCCTCAACCCTCGCATCACACCCTTAATCCCAGTATCACAATTTTAATCAATATCCATACACTAACTTTAGCTAAGATTGAATTCTCAATTTTAGCATCTTATACTGACCTCAGCAGCTTGTTTGGAAGGGAGTAGAACAGATTTTAAATGGGGGCATTGTGATTTATGTACACATCTTGAAACATCCTCTTTTCCTCATTTTCTGGGCATACAAAAAGGAAGGGATTAAAAGGTTCAGCATATTGGGCATACTGAAAAGGTAGCATGTGAAAGGCTGAAAAACTTACCAGCTGACTGTTTCATTGGACTGTCTAGAAGATCATTTGTTGAGATAAAGAATGTGCTGGTGAGGGCTGGGAATTTAGCTTTAGTGGCACTGTGTGTGCCTCACAAGCACAAGGTCCTGAGTTCAATGCCGGCACACACACACACACACACACACACACACACACACACACAGTGCTAGCAAGAGGGCCAGGAGCATCATGGAGAAACTCAGTGGGAGTTGTTCTCTTAGGCCAAGGCTTGTAGTAGGGAATTTGTGACAGAACTGGGCTTCCTGAGGATGGTATTTAAACTTCAGGAATGGCTGGGGATTTAGCTCAGTGGTTCCGGCGCCTGCCTTGCAAGCACAAGGGCCAGAGTTTGATCTCCGGTACCAAAAAAGAAAATACACTAAACTTCAGAAGCAAGACAAACTCAATTAACATAATGAGCAATAAGATCCAAGTGGAAGGCAAGGAGAGTGGAAAGAGATATTCAGAGAGCTGTGGAGAAAACTAGTAGAATGTGGCATCTCTACAGGCAAAATACATGGGCAGAAACATGGTTAATATTCAATTCATTCAATCAAATAAAAGATGGATGATCAAGAGCCTAATAAAATTTAACAGTCTGTCATCTGATTTCTAGACCCTGTTCAATTTTCAGACCTGAAACCCTTTGACTGAAAACTCTACCACATTAAATGTCATGTGGTAATGATTTCTCCATTCTTCAGCCACAAAAAAATTTATGCCCATTTACTCAAGTACCCTGGGAAAAGGGGAGTACCTAGAAGTTTCAAAGCTGTTAAGTACATGGTCTGAGTTGATCTTGATACTTAGGTTTTTTTTTTTTTTTTTTTTGTGCCAGAGATTGAACTCAGGACTTTGGGTTTGCAAGGCAGGCAGCAGCACCACTGAGTTAAGTCCCTGCCCCCACTTTAAAAAAACTTTAACATTTTTTCATTTATTTTTTTGATATTGATATTTAGAAACCCAAAGTGACCCAGAGACCTCTATGTTAGAATGAAGGAACACAGAAGCCAGGTGATAAATACAAGCCTGTCTCATGGCAAGTCCACTGGATGTATCATTCCACCAATTTGTAATTTTCTAACAGCTTGAATGTGTAATTGGAATGGATGTTCTTTTGTCCTCTTTTTCTTCCTTCTCTTCCTCTTTCTCTTCTTTCTTTCTTTTTCTGGTGGTACTGGGATTAATTAAACCGGGTCCTTACACAAAATAGGTAGGTGCTCTACCACTAAGCCAAATCCCCAACCCTAAAATTTAATTCTTTATTTTAAGCTGGAATATCAGTGCCTGCCTGTAGTTCCAACATTTAGGGAAGTTCAGGCAGAAAGATTGCAAATTCCAATCTCACCTGAACTTTCTGTAACCTGTCTCAAAGTAAAAATTATTTAAAAAAAGAGTTGTGATGTAGTTCAGTGGTAGAGTGCCCTTGGGTTTTATTCCTAGTAGCACAGAAATCTATTTCTAGTTGACAAATAATAATTGTACATATTTATGCAGTATTATGTGATGTTTGATACATTGTAAAAAGATCCAATCAAGGTAATTAACATATCAGTCACCTTTTATACTTTTTTGTAGTGAGAACATTTAAAATCCATTCCTTAAGCAATTTTGAAATATACAATACTGTATTATTGACTATTGTCATCATGTTGTGCAACAGATATCAAAAAGTTATTCCTTCTTTCTAACTGAAACTTTGAACCCTTTGACCAGTATCTCTTCATCCCTTCCAAAATCTTTTGCTTCTAGTAATCACCATTCTACTCTATTTCTTGTAAGTCTGACTTTTTTAGATTCCAAACATAAGTGAGACCATATAGTGTTTGTCTTTCAGGGCCTGGCTTATTTCTTTTAGCATAACATTCTCCAAGTTCATCCATGTTGTTACAGATGACAGGATTTCTGATTTTTAAAATAGCTGAACAGTATTTCATTGTGCACATGTATTGCATTTTCTTTATCCACCCACTAACATATCCCTAGGATTCCATATATCTTGGCTACTGTGAATGCTGAAATAAACATGTGAGTCTCTGTGAAATACTGATTTTAATTGTTTTTAGATAGATACCCAGATGTGGGATTGCTGGGTCATTTGAATACAGCACATGAATTGCTAGGCCATTCTCCATGATTGTTATATTAATTTACGTTCCCATCAGCAATGTACAAAGGTTTCCTTTATTCCACATACTCATCAACATGTTATCATTTGACTTTTTGAGAATACCCACCCATTCTTGCAGATGTGAGAAAATATTTCTTTATAATTTAAAATTGTATTTCCCTGATTAATGGTGTTGAATATTTTTATAAATCTGTTGACAATTTGTATGTCTTCTTTTGAGAAATGTCTATTTAAATCTTTTCCCCATTTTAAAATTGGATTATTTTCTTGTTCTTGAGTTTTTTTAAAGTATATTTTGGATATCAACCCTTTATGAGGTGTATGAGTGGCAAATGTTTTCTCCTGTTCTGTGATTGATCTCTTCATTCTTTTGTTTCTTTTGCTATGCAGAAGTTTTCAGTTTGATGCAATTCTGTTTGTCTTTTTTTGCCTGTGCTATAGGGGTCATATTCAGAGAAACCATTGTCCAGACCAATGTCATTGGCTTTTCCTCTATGTTTTGCTCTAGCAGTTTTACAATTTTAGACCTTACATTTAAGTTTTTAATTCATTTTGGATTATTTTTTGTATATGGGATCAGATAGACTGTTGTTATTTGAATTGTAAAATGGAGAGAAATATTGTTACTCCTGCTGAACCTCATAGGTCTTTTAGGGAGATCAAATGGGATTCTGGAATCAGGCATTTATGTCACAGAGATTGCTGAAATTGGAAAGTAACCATTTGCCAATGTCATTGTAAAGATAGATCAAACAATCATCATTCATGTACGTGAAACATAGATGAGTTAGGAGGAAATTTTGAGAGGCAGACTGTTTCTTGGTAGTGAATATTTATCTATAGGCAGTTTATTGGTTTATATATTCTGAAATAATCTAATCTAGAAATTATATAAAACTTTGGTCAATCAAAATTGGTGCTATAGAATAGACATCCTGTATTTCCTCCTGTGGAATCCTGAAAAGGATACAGGTCTCTAGACTTTCAACTGAGAGAGAATAACCTGAATCTAATCTTGAGAAAATATTATATAAATGTGGAACATTCCTTTAAAATATGGAGAGTATGATGAATTGATACTTGCAAAATGCCAATATTATGACTTACATAGAAAGCCATGAAAACATTATAGGTTAAAGAGAGACAAAGATACTGTGTAATTAAATGGCATAACTGACTATAGTTGTGATAAGGATAAAAAGGACACTTTAAGTCATTTAAAAATCACAGAAGAGGCATTAGAATAGATGAAAACATTATACTGAGCTTGAAGTTATAGATGTTGATAACAATACTGTGGTATGTAAGAAAATATCTTAAATCTGAGAAAAACATTCAGAAGCATTTGATGGTAAATGGCCATAGCATGTGTAACCTAACTTCAAATATTTCAGGGAAAAATTATGTTTCTATACATGTGTGTTTGTGTGTACATGCATATATGCTCTGAAAAAATATATATAGAGGGAGCACTGTTAAGTGGAAAAATAATGAAAAAGAAGAAAAATAAATATGTGAACCAGGGAAAGATTATATTAGTATTCTGTCTTCTGTTCTGATTTTTACAAACCTTACACTTGGTAATTCTTAAATGCCTCATTTTTTCATT